CCGCCACGTGTCTATATCTCTACAGTAGTAGGAATCGACTGCGGCAAAGGTCGCGTCTAATTTACGACAGCATATTTCAAGCGTCGGTTCCGCGGCTACACGCTCCCTTCCACAGGAGATTCTGTTCTCTTTCTCTCGCTAGTTCTTAAGGAGCGACGACCGAGAAACGCGGAGGGAAAGGACGAGGAAGAGTGAACGGAAGAAAAAAAAAAGGAAGAAATTGAACCGTGGAAGAAAAGGATCGTGGCAAGTTTAAAACGCTCCCCTTCAAGTGGTTCCGCCAGCTTATCGTCCCAGCTCGATCTCTCTCGCGCGGCGAGTTACATTCGTGGTGTTCACCAGATTGAAATCGGGCAAAATTCGATAGGAGGACCTCGGCTGTATCTTCGACTCTGGAAGCCAGCTCGTAAAAGAAAAAGGAGAGAGGAAGCCGCGACCCGATAGAGGATGGATGCGCTTTATTCCTCCTCCCTTCGGGACGCGTTATCCGAAACTCGTATCAGATGCACAGGTTTTCGCCCGCCTTCGCTCCTTTAACCGCTTCGATTTCCAATGATTTAGCGTTTAAACGCGTCTTTTGGCATCTCTGCACCTCTGCAGGTATTTACGGAGATACGTGTTAAAATTTATCGCGTACAACTTAAGTAAACGTAACACACGATAGGCTTGTGGCGGGTACGTCGTCGTCAACAAACCCTTACCGAACCTCGTTCTATTCTTCCACGCGAATTTTCTCTTTTCCAACTCCTTCAGATTTTAGTTTCCGTTCCTTTGTCTCTCCCCGGGTTAAGACTTGCCTTCGTCCTCGAGTAGCCTAATGTAATAAAACATGTGGCATCCAGGTTCGCACCTTCTTCACTTCTATCTTTATCTATCGCTACTCCTGTCCTAACAAAATAAAAACCCAGCACGCCTACACCTCCGGACAGTTTTTCCTTTACCGACCATCGCGACGTACCCGCCGCGACGTTCCTCACCCACCTCAGGCTATTGACCGAAACGTATTATTTTATAAATGTAAGCGGCTGTTAAGGTACTCGGGTGTCCGTCTCGCTCGACGGCTACATTAAGAGTGTCCTCTCCGCGTCCTATCCCGCGTTGCCCCGAAAAACCGTTGGAGCCCCCTCGTTCGACTTTCCGGGGAAAGGGCTTAGTTTATGGCACCCTCAGGTATCCGCGCGCTTTCTCTTCCTGGGTGACAAAGTCCAGGCCGTCGAAATCTCGCATTTCTTACAGAATTTTGTTTTTTATTGTAAGTGAACAATTTACTTCGATCGGTGGAATTTTTGAATGTATAATTTTGGGAAATTTGAATTTTCAATGTTTTTCTTTTTTGTTTTGTGGTTCTGACGTCGTTATTGACGGTTTTCGTGGGGAGTGGACACGTGAGAGTGTCACGTGGCTCACGTGCGGTCACTTTTACGTAATGAATGTTAATTTAGTGTTCGGTGGAATTAATCGTGAATAGAACGGAGGGGAAAATGTTTACCGGGTGGCTGTGGTAAATGCGGATTTTCATAGAAAAGTGAGGTTAGCGTTATTACAGAATTTTCGCAAAAATATTATATAAATATTAGGGGAATTAGTCGTTAATAAAATACAGGAGAAAATGTTTATTAACAGACTGTGGTGAATACAGATTTTCATAGAAAAGTGAGATCGATATTAAAATATTTTTCACTACATTCGAACACTGTTTTTACCAAAATTAACCTAACATAACTATTTTATTTAACGATATACATATATTTGTCTGTTAAAGTTCTCTGCAATACTTCGCAAATATATCACACGAAATATTAGGGGAATTAATCGCTAATGAAATGCGGTAGAAAAAGTTTATCAGTCGACTGTGGTAAATGCACATTTTCACAGAAAAGTAAGATTGGTATTAAAATACTTTTCACTAAATTCTAACACTATTTTATTTAACGATACTTAAAATTTTTCCATTTTACAAAAATATTAGAAATTTTCTTTCTTCCCAAAAGTAATTTCCCGGTTTCAAAAATTCTCCACGTGGTAGCAGAACGGTAAACAAAAATTCAGCTTCATTTCCAAGGCAACCAATCCACAGTTAACAGTTGAAACATTTGTTTTCGCTTGAAATTTTGCACAGCAAGGTATGTCAATTGGCGAAACAGCGCTGAATAGATTTCAGGATCCTTTGTGTTTAAAACACGTCGGTACGGGGCAAAAGGGGAGGCGCAGAACGGTTAAGTAGAATGGTGGGAGTGGAGGTTTCGGTGGCCTTCAAGGGGCAATTGATTTTAGGCGTGGAACAGCTGACCCGTATTATATTTAGCTAGGATATTTGAAAATTTGTCTGCTGTTTTGTATACTCTGTCGCTTAACGACACACGTTTACACGTGTATTTCGACAGATACAATAGAATTCAATTATACCGGGTACGGTAAGATTGAAATATTGTATAAACGGTTTATACGGAGCAAGAGCGTTCGAAACTTCTAACAATACACGTTCGAATACCCGGAATCGATTTTGTACTACTCGAAACCTATTGTTAATACCCCGCACGCAACTCAGGTGTGTTCCTGACACCTTCTGTCGTATGAGTGAAATATTTCCAGCTCTGAATAGCACCAGCCGGTATTAGGTATAGAAATGGAACGAACCTCTGCGTAAAATGAACTCTGCGCGCGTCTCGTTTTGAATTACGAGACGTTTCAACGAAAAAAACACACACAAATTTGTCATTTTACTGTGGTCACTTTGGTTGTGGAAATGTAAACGAAACGCCTGTCATTTGCACCTGATAATCGCGTCAATTAATCTTGAAAGAACGAGCGCAAATCTGAAATTGTGATTTTGCGGGAATAACAAAGATATTGTAAAACAGGGTGTAATATTTTTGTTACAGTTATTCTAACCGAAGTTGATTCACTGGTAAATACAGAGAGACGTGGAGACGTGTTTTTTTCAATAAAAAAGGGTTCGACTGATTTTGCGAAATTTTTCAAAATTTATCCTCGCACATTTCAAACTCTTTTGTCATTTGCACCTGATAATCAGTTAATCTTGAAAGAACGGGTATGAATCCAAAAGAGCACGAATAAAAAAATTGTGATTTTTCAGGAAAAACACAAAAACACCTTTTCACCCAAAATTATGGAATTTCGTGTAATATTTTTATTACAATCATTTCAACTCAAGTTGATTCGCTGATAAATGAAGAAAGACGTGGACGTGTGCGCTTTAGATGATAAAGGGTTCAATTTATCCGAAGAAATTTTTTTTCAAAATTTACCCCGACACTTTTCAAATTTCCCGCCTTCGAAGCTAACGCGCAAGTGTTCAAACTTCCAATTAAAATCCCCGCGAAATAATTTACGAAGATCAGTGGAAGACACTTGTCTGTCATCCCGATCGAAGGAAGTTCCCCGAGATTGCACAGAGTTTCATCGTGGGAGCCCGCAAATTTCATACAGACGAATCAGAGATCAGTCGAATAGAGGGAAGAGATAGGCGGTGGTCGATCGTCACGGGAACACGTCGTCGTCGCGTGCAACTTTTTATCGGTCCGCCCTCCAACTTCGTGCCCAAAAAAAGCAGAACTTCATAAGCGGCAGAGAACGAGCCGGAAGTTTGCTAACGGGCTGACTCAGTCGGTACCTCTCGACGCTGGCGAATTCGCTGTAATACGCAACGATTCTGCTGAGGGCTCGTAAAAATGTCCGATCTCGTCTCTCCTCTGTCTCGTTGAAATTTCGTCAAACCACTTGTAACAACAGAACAAGTTCCTCGTTTCGATCATTACTTCAGATACAAATCAGTTTCCTCCTTCCGCTTTCCATCTGTTCGATTTTTTTTTTTTCTCCACCCACTTGAGAAAGGATCGTTGTTTTGATCCCGAAGAAACACGCCGCTTTCCCTTCGACAGGCAACGATGAAACACCGAACTCGAGAAAATCTGTCGTCGCGAAGACGAGAGACAGAGAGCCATTGATTCCGGTGTTCTTAAACGAGCACACAGAAAGAGAGAGAGGGTCTAGCTAATTATAAAGTTAAATTAAATATTGATATGCAAGGATTCAAGTTCCTCCGCGAGATAGCTTGTGCCCGGTGGAATTTTCCGCGAGCCTCGTGGATAACGCGATCGCTCTGATCACCCTAGCATTTGTAAACAGACGATATGTAAATGAGACGGGCAACTTTTGTGTAATTAGAAAAGAAAGGCCTCGGGGATCGTCGATATTGATTAAACAGATGAAGAAGCAGGACGTGAAAATTAGAACGCCTTCGATGAGAGCCTGCGGAAGTCTCTATTGGCAGGGGTGCCCAACGAGGCCTGTTACGGGCGCCCGCCGGGCTCTCGGGCAGCCCCGGGCAAAGCTAGGGCAAGTGACGTTGAACAACGATTGTGGTGGGGGTGTAAGTTCTATCTTTGAAGTATAGGTCTCACTCTTAGGCTACGCAATCCCTACAGTGCTCCACAGAAGATCGTTGCCCGAATATCGCTGTGCGTTCGAGCTATAGTCTGAATACAGTCTAGTGCCCTGCGGGCAACTCGCTCAGCAGCCCTGCTCTATTCGAAACCTCTTTATTGCCGCATCGCACAGAACACCTCAATAAAGTAGAAAGCTCGCCTCCATCGACCTAAAAGAGCACGTGAAAATCGTGTCCCACAGGTGCCCGCATCACACCGAAATAAACCTAAACCCAATTCAGTCCAATCTCTCTAAAAACCTCAAAAAATCCTTATTACATTCATACAGTGCCCCATTACAGAATCGTTGCCCGAGCAGACGCTCCTTTCTCCTCAAATATCGCTCTCCGCTCGAGCTACAATCTGACTATAGTCTGACCGCTGCCCCGCGGGCAACTCGCTCCCCATTTCACCCCGTCCCACTGAACAGTCCAATAAAGTTGAAGGCGCGCATCCATCGAACTGAAAGAGCACACGAAAATCGCGCTGGAAGTGGCCTAAACCCAACACACTCGAACTGTTCGGAAAACGTGAAAATGGAGTAGTACTCACCGGACTCCGAGACGGAGGGACTGCCCGCAGACCTGTCGGAGTTCCTGGAGCTGGCCGTGGAGCTGGTGGAAGAGGCCGTGCCGAGAGAGCACTCGGAGACGCTGCGGCGTTTGGAGAGAAGAGCCGCGGCCGCGGTTGCGGCTGCGGCAGCGGCTCCAGGGCCGCAAGAGGAACCGGTCGGTGCACTCGAGCTGAGCCCGTGGAGGCCGTGGAGGCCGTGCAACCCGTGCAGGCCCGTCTGACTCGTCAGCTGCTCCAGCCGTCGCCTGAGGAACCTGTGCTCGCGAGACAGCTGTTCCTTGTGCACCGCGTGCTTGCGTTCGCGTTCCTCTAGGTTCTGTAACATAACATTTGCCACCATTCGGTTAGGCGATGCGCTACGTATGTCTGTCTTCTGTAAATTCCACACGTAATGGATATGTAACTATTGGGTAATCTATGTGTTCCTCGGATGAAATTTAGGTCGTTTGTGTTTATTTTTCAGATTTAAGCGAAAGTTCAGGTTATCTGGGAAATCTGCGAAGTGAAGGAAATTCGTTTTGCGTTCGGAGAAAATTCTATTGATTGGGATTCTTCATTATTATCTAATATTTAGAGAACATTGTGATTTTTTGGGATGATTGAATGAGGAAATGATAGAATTTAGGGTCCCTATAAAATTATTACCATCTAATATTTAGAGAATATTGCGATTTCGGTGAATGACTGGACGAGGAAATAATAGAATTTTGCATCCATAAAATATTGGGAAAATCGACGTTGGCTGAGATTTTTTATTGCCATCTAATATTTAGGGAATATTGCGATTTCGGTGAATGACTGGACGAGGAAATAATAGAATTTACCGTCCGTAATGAAAATTGTGAAAACGACGTCGGTTGAGATTCCTCGCTACCATCCAATATTCAGAGAATGTTGTGATTTCGGTGAATAATTCTTTGACGAGGAAACAGCATCGTCTAGAGTGTTAAAATTAGCGTCGGGGATGGTTCGTTTCGGTACTTCGTTGCGTTACGGTATTTATGAGAGTTACGAGGTTTTACGAGGGAGTTTAGCATTGAAGTTGGGGTGGTTTAATGTTCAAACCCTCGTAAAGGCATACCGTAGAATATATCCTCATGCTGATCATACCGATAACTCGAATTCTAATAAAACCATCTTACAAACAGAATCCCAACTCGAAGGGTTAAAAACGACCAAAAAATCCTGCATTAAAAATCTCCAAATAATCTCTCGTCGTCTCGAAAGTAACAGCAATAGAACAAGCAAAAAAACGAACACGAACAACGCATTACAAAAGTTCAATCTTGCAAAACGTTCACCTTTCAATCCGCTCGTGCTCGTTTAAAAAATTCCGCTACAGGTAATCTCGTTCGACGTAACTCCCCGAGATTGAAGTATTTTTTTAATGCGTTTACAGGGGGAATTGCGCGCGGCAAAAGGATTTTGTACGTTAACCGCGTTTCCGGTCTGGGCAATTGGCTTCCGCCTTTGTTCCGTCTTCATTTCGAAGATTAATTCCGGCGGTCGGCTACGAGGCTGCTGAAAAATCGCGGAATTAATGGGGAAAACGCGGTCCGGCTCGCTAAGCTCGCGGGGATTACAATGAAGCCGCGGCTAATTCGCGGACTCTGACATGAAATTTAGATAATTTAAAGTTCTCTCTCTCGCTCTCGGTTTGAGGGTGGGGGAGAAAGGAACGTTCGTTTCGCGTTAATGAACCAGCCCGGGATATTATTTTCCCCCGGTTCCCTTCGAGTTCGCGCACCAGGAATTTGTTTGAAGACTTTTCTCCCCATTTCTCTCTGGTCGAGAGATAAAAGTGGAAGGTTGAATTGTACGGTGTACAAGCGAGACACGATTTCGCGAGGGGAAATGAGGAATCAAATTTGTTCGTTTGAACCTGCGCTTTTTGAAGTAATTTGGTTAGGGTATTTATCGTATACCTGGTCTTCGAAGAGTAAATCGCTGATTTTTATGAAATTTCTGTACGACGTGGGAAAATATTGTGGGATCAGAAATATAAATAGATATTTATTAACAAAATATAAGAATAACTATGATACATTGGGCTTTGACACACGCTTCTCCGATTCACGCCTCTCGACTTTTTCAAACACACTGCCCTTTCATCCCTCGCACGCCGTACTTTATAGCCAGGCCCATCGTGAGCCTCTTGTCACCGGGGTTTATCCCCCTTTGGGCCTTGGCTATCGTCGCTCGTCGCCCGCTTTCTTTCTCATCCTCACAATTACGATACTACAATATTGGACGCGTACTTTTTCTAGAGACGCCCTAGTGGTCTGGACAAAGACTCTAACTGTCTGACAAAAGACTGGCACCGCTCGCGCCATGAACAAAAGGCGTACCGGAGTCCCGAATCGTCATCGAGATTCACGAGAATCTCTCTCGTTACAACATTTGTGTACGAAATTAGGGCCGAAGGGGTTAAAGTAGCCTTTAAAATTGAGCGTGTAAAATGTATTTCATTTTAATGAAAATTCATTTGTTTTAATAATAATTTAATGAAAACTCGTTTGTTTGAATAATATATTAGAATATTTTGACACGGAATACGGATAAATTTAGAATTACTGTAAAAATGATTATTTTTTTACATTTTGTGTAAGACAGAAGTCTTGAAAATGGTGAAAATTTATGTTTTATCGTCGCACTGAATTGCCAGCGGCGGGTAACAAATTTTTATCGAGAGTGGGACAGCGTGATTTGCTGTACAATCGAAAAGGAAGTGCTTTTCCGTGTAAAAATTAGAAGAACAGCTTTATACCTCATTTTCGAACGGATCAGTTTTGAGAACTGTCCAGTGCATGTCCTGCTTAACACGTTAAGCGCCAAGCCTGTTTTGTCTTCCTTTCCGTTTAGCCCGCGATATCCGATTCACATAAAAGACTGCATGTGTTTCAATAATACTCGTTAAAATTTTCTTCTGGTAACAAGTAATATTTAGGTACATTCTTTTATGATTTCCAAATTATTTCAAATGTATTAATAGAAGAATATAATTTTTTAAATTGAATATCGTCAGTCAACAGTGACTGACGCGGCCCGAACGAAAAGTATACTGTCAGTCACCGGCGACTGACATGGCGCTTAACGTGTTAATTCGACACGGCTGTCGAACTACTATGCCTTTTTTTATACTGTTACAATTGAATCGACGAGATCAGAAACGTAAGTGAGTTTCTTTTTTTTCAATTTAATCATGCATTAAACAACGTTCACATTTAAACACTCCAAATGAAATAAAGATTAAAATAGAAAAATCACGAACTGCTATGAATCATTTGTTTCATAAAAATTTTGAAAAAATCTATACAAAAAAAAAAGAAAAACAATTTTTCCTTATTTCTGAAAATTTAGTTAAAAGTGATTTGCAATATTTCGAAATAAGCATTTCTCGATATTCTTTGATACAATTATAGTTTAAACATTCTCGAAATATTTCTCAGCGTTCTTTGCTGCAATTTTAATCCAGATATTCTGGAGATATTTGTGGACGTTCTTTGATAGGATCTGAATTAAAAGAAATCTTGGATAAAATTCGAAGTTGGTCGAATTTTATCAACGAGCAAATATTCCACGTATAAATCTCTGTTAACGAACGAAGATAGACAGATTATTTTATGAGATTCGTCAGCGTGATCCTCGGACGGTGAACGAAAGAGGGAATAATTCGCAGCAATCGACTGCAACGAGCTTCAAGGTTCGTTGTCTGCGCTATATTAAAACTCGATTTACACTTGCGGTCCAATTACGATCAAGATCCGGTCAACTACCACTCAGCGATCCTCGAACAACCAGGAACACGTGGACGATCGTTTCCCGGTCACGTTTCAACAATTTCGATGGCATTTAAATAAATTTATATCGCAACTCGGCCACCGATATCACAACCTTCCGTATAATCCACCGAAGCAGCCTCGTTTCTTTCTTTTTCTTTGAGAGATATTGCGGAGAAATTGTAAACACGAATCTTTGATAATTAATTTTTTTTTTTTGAAAATT